TCATTCAAGAAACCACGATACCTTAACGATCTATGATGTGTTTTGTTTTGAAAGACCTCGGCTATATTCATGCAAACCTTTATTATTAGTACCATTCACTGAGTATTCAAGCTCACCCTCTCTATATATATGTAGGTGATGAGCAGGATGTCGGCGACGCCTAGACTGTTTTTGAAAGCTTATTTGGATTCATGATCACGTCGGCTTTGTTTTTGTATTCATGTCGGCGAATCTTGAAAATCATTCTTCTTGGCTTGTAATTGCCGTATTTTGTATATGTCGGCTCAAGAAGCCTTTTGATCAAGATGTAATACGTATTTTTGTTTTGTTGTATTCAAGTTGTAAGATGAATGGCATTGCATTTGATCTATGCACAGCTCTTAAGGACCACTGGTATTTTTGATTATTGCTTCCGCATTTGTGAGCCCCGTTTATTATACTCTGGTGTTGAGTTTTTGAAAGTTGGCCTTCGGTAATTACGGATTACTGGCCATCACGGCACCAAACTACTAGGGGCGGTTTGGGGTCGTGACACGAAATCTGCTGCACAGACATATGCCTTGTTAAGGTAGACCAACAGTTGAGTTGACTAGTAAATTATTGAAATTTAGCTTAAAAACTAAGCAAGCTTGAAGTGTTTAAATTTAATTTCTTTTATTTTTTGAGTTGATATTAAATGAGTTTTAATCGATGTAACTCGAGTAATTTGATTTTTTTTATAAATTTATCACCAAGCTTAAAAAATTAACCAGTTTTAAAATACGTTTAAATTTAACTTATTTACATGACTCACCGATTCTAAAGAGTTTTTAAACTTGAGTCTAAGCTCATCCTTAAGTCTAATCCATAAAAGTCAAGCTCATCCTTGTTTTGTTCTAGGGATAATTATTTTTTATTTTTACAGCTGGAATTTCTCTTGAATTTCAAAGCAAAATACCCTTTATTTTTTTTTAACTCTAAACATCAAATTAAATAGTAAAAATTTACCCTTTATTTTTTTTAACTGCTTGTGCTTACTATTTATTTGGAATTGCAATGCAGTGGCTGATTGATCACCCAAAATACCTCAAAAATCAGTTGTTCATTGGGGCTGATTCTTATTCAGGCATAACTGCTCCAATAGTAGTTCAACATATATTAGAGGGTAACTAAATTAATTATTAATGCTAATGACAATTAGTAACTAATTCAACTCTCATTAGCTCATGTTTTGATTAATCATATATTTTTGATATAGGAAATGCTGTTGGGGAGAGGCCACGCTTGAATCTCAAAGTAAGTAACTTAATATTAGAACTCAAGTGACTTTAATAAGCTCGGTTTAGTCGAATAAATTTGTGCATTATAGATTTGTTATGTACATCACTATTCAATGCAATGTTTTAATTTTTGTTTCAATGGGATTTATACTTGACGTCTGCTTCACAATAATTGTCGTATTAATATAATATTCTAATTTGAAATGGTTTTTTAGGGCTATATTCTTGGGTGTCCGCGAACAGATGTAATTATTAATGAAAATTCAAAAATATCATACTCTCACCGGATGGGACTTATATCTGATGAACTTTATGAGGTGATTGTTTGTGCTAACAATATTACGCACTCAAAAAAAAGTATTTTGAAAATTGTCTAGAAAATGAAATTTGTGGATTAGATATTTTGGGTGTGACCTACATCACACTAAAATTTAAATTTACACTACACATTTCATTCCCGAGATACTTTTCTAAATACTTTTTCTGGGTATGTAACTTTTTCATTCCTAATGTTGTATGATTGAAAATTTTGGTCTTTCATATAGTAGCATTGCAAGGTTTGATTTGTTTTCTTGTTTTAAAAAAATGTTTTACAGGAGACCAAAATAACTTGTAATGCTAATTATTATGATGTGGATCCAAACCAAGCAGAGTGCTTTGAAAGCCTTCAAAAGATTGCAAACGTGAGAGCCATTGGTGATTTCAATTTTATGACCAAAATTATTTGAAATTCTAGACCTACTAAGGATGAGAATTTTTATTTTTGATTTGTAGTTGATTCATGATATAAACAAAAATGATATATCGGAACCAAAGTGTACTTGGGCATCCCCAGATCAAAATGGAGAAACCGATAGACGATCACTAGAGCAGCAATCGGGAAATTTCATTCTCTCACCTCCCGAAATTCCAGAAATGTGGTGTCACGTAATTTTCTCTTTCCTCTCCCTCTTTGAGGCCATTCGTGGGCTTGAAATGTGCCGAATGATAATATGAATTCATCTACATATGCAGAATTTCAATTATGCGCTCTCCTATATTTGGGCAAATGATGAGAGTGTCCGACAGGCCTTGTATGTTACAGAGGTATGTGATCTTCAAAGAATTTAATATCTAGGGTTATTTACATTAACTTGACTGATTAAATATATACATGATTAAATTTTTGCTTTATTTATTGTAAAATTCATACATGATTACATTTCATTAACTTTATTAATTCAGAGATGGTGGTTAATTTAATTATCAGGGAACAGTTAAAGATTGGAAGAGATGCAACAAGAACTTGGATTACACACTGAATGTGGAAACTGTACTTGATGTTCATAAGAATCTCAGTTCATATGGTCTCCAAGTTCTTGTATACAAGTTGGTATTTTGAACCTTTAATTTACATCTATGCTTAACTAATAATTTTCTTCTTCACATTAATTTACTTCTTAGAGTTGAGCTTATAATAGTAGTGTGACACACTTTATTGAACTTTAATACTTGTTTTTTTGCAGTGGTGATCATGATTTAACTGTACCAAATACCGGAACTCAAGATTGGATAAAATTGTTAAATTTAACTATTGTTAGTGACTGGCGGCCATGGCTAGTTGACGACGAAGTTGGAGGGTGAGTATATAAAAACTTCTTTTCAATTTCAATTTCAAATTAAAATTAAAATTAAATTAAATTAAATTTTTAATCATGGGTTAGTCTAGGGAGGTATGTTTAATTATGCTAAAATGATAGGATTTATTGTATTTTTACCAAATTTCAAGAGAAATCAGTTTTATTATTATTATTATTTTTGTTATTCCACTCTCTCCTCTTCTTCTTTTTAAGTCAATTGATAGAAAATAATTTGCAAATATCGAGAGGCAGACATTTATCATTTCACTATGTAAAAAAGTTTTACCTCTTTATATGCTTAAAAAAATTAAAAAACTAAAAAAACCAACTTTTGACAAAGAGATCAATCACAGCCATCTGTCTAATGAAATTTCTTGGTTTCAATTTTATTTAGCTACACAATCAAGTATTCAAAAATTGGGTATCGTTTGACATATGCAATTGTACTGGTAAGTCACAAATTCAATTTTTTCTTTTTTGACTTTATGAAGCACTCAAGGAAAAATTGAAGGAAAGTGTATGTTTGGTTATATTTTCATTTTCTTCGTTTTTATTTTTTGTGTTTTAAGAAACAAAATAATAAAAAGTTTGAAACACACATCATTTTTCATTTCTACATGAAAACAATTTTTAAAAAAAATCAAAAACAATTCTTTAATATTTTCTTAAAAATTGAAGAAAGTTTGCCGAACAAGTTTATATGTGTTTTCCAAAAATAAAGACAAAAAACAGAATACAAAACACAACCAAGCAGATCCTTAGGTATGTTTGGTTGTGTTTTTTTATTTTTCATGTTTACATAATAGTTAAAAAATAAAAGTTCTAAAACAGCCATCAATTTTTTTTTTTTATTTTTTTTATTTCTGTGCACAAACAATTTTCAAAAATACAAAATTAATTTTTTTATGTTTCATGAAAAGTGTGTTATTTAAAAAATTAAAAATTTTAAAATTAAATTTTGAAAATTATTGTAGGGAGCTGGGCACTCACCTCAAGAGTACAAGCGTAGGGAATGTTATGAGATGTACCAAAGGTGGATCCATTACTATCCTCTCTAGTAATTTCTTTAAGCCAATATTTTTGTGAGATGTTCCAGAACTTATTACAATACCATCCTCTCTTAGTGGACTTTTGTGAATCTAATTGTATTAAAATTTTCTTCCTTCCAAATCATAATTAACTTGTAGCATTTGTGCACTAGCTTTTTCAATGGGCTTATTGTTGTTAAAACAACAATGTTATTAGAAAAAAAATATTTAACAAATTACCTAGAAAATTATATCAGTGAAGCTCAACTTTTAGTTTATTTTCTGGGTATAAATTCTGTTATAATTTTACTTTATTGCACCTCATGCCAAATTTAGCACAAACTTCAGCTGTGGGTAAATTTTGAAAAAGTCTTTTTGTATCTACACCTCTAATAGCTAGATCCATGTATAACATTTCAATTTGGCATCTTGTGAGAAAAATATCAAAAATAACATTTATACTATTAGAACAACATATTGATAAAATATATCATTTTATCATTTTTCGTTGCTAAATCTAACAATAATTATTCAACCATTAACGATATTCTAATTGGTCACATTTTCACATGAATTTATTTTAGGGCATCCAATGAATTACTACCACGTCATCTTTACCTTCAACAACTCATGATACATATTAGACAATTAAAAATAAAAATGTTAATAGTATTGGATAATTTTCACTGTATTACGAATAAATTATATTTATGTACTTAACAACAAACAGAAGAAATAAAGAAAATGAGGGAGATTGTTTGATTACAGAAATCAAACCAGAATATAAAATAAATAAATAAAAACAGATTTTTTATTTTGTTACAAAAACAAAATCAAAATCCGAAACAGAAAAAATAATAAAACAGAAAGCAAATTAACTACTAACCTTATGTATTTATTAAACAAAATTATAATCAAGTCCAGTGTTTAACACTGTGTCCTTAAGACAGATTCGTCCTCTTCATGGTGCTTTCAGATTATGGACGTCTATCTCTCAGAAAAAATGATCAACTACGAATAATTGCAGCACTACAAATTATTCGCACAACGAATACAATGGACGTCTATCTCCTAGGATAAAATGATCAACTACAAATAATTGTAGCACTACAAATTATTCTCACAATGAACACATTTTGTGTATACATTCTTTCTCACAGGAAAATTAAATGCAGCAAAATGCAGAAAGTAATTACAGAGAGAAGAACGAATTTTTTGAATGACAAAAATCAATAGAAGGTCTGTCTATTTATAGGAAAAAATGTGGCTGTTTGGTTTGAATTAAACAGGTGCAAACCTGTTTAAACAGGTATTAAACTTGTTCAGTTTGAATGAACATGTAAGGAGTCTATTGGGTTTAAATTTCAAACAGATATGAGTATGTTTGGTTTAAATTCAAAAAGATATTCATCTGTTCGGGTGGCGAAAAAACCGGAGCCAATTTTGAAAATAATATTCGAAATTCAAATTCCAAAAAATTAGAATTTAATTTTAGAAAAATAAAATTCAAATGTTTTTGACCCAAAAAATAATTAGTATTGGGCCGGACAAGCCCAACCCAACCGGATGGATGGGCGGCGGCAGTGTGCGTGTGTGTTTATTTTTTGGTCCCATGGGTCTAGCCTACTTTGCCCATAACCTCACCCTTCCACAAAATTTGGGTACCCCTTGGGCCCTCCCCAAGTTACAAACCCAAACTTTATAAATGCACAAAAGTTTGCCCACCAAACCAATGTGGGACAAGCCTTAAACCAAACCTTAAGGAATTTTCATCAAAAACTCCATTTCTATAGAGCTCACTTTGGCTTCAATTTCCCATTCACTCGATAATAGTTTTGAGCACCCAAATATACTACGTGAATCACAACGCGACATAGAACGCGTTACCACTTAGACTTGCCAACTTTGACGCATATGTCCCACCTAAAAAATAGACCAAAGTTGAGGAAAAATCTGTTTTTTTCAAAACTTCCAAAACCCATTTTTAACAATCCCACACATAAATGGAATTTGATGACAACGGAAAGGCAACAATATGTAGAATTTGTCGAAAGAGTATAAATCGAAAATATCTTGCATCGGGATAGGTAGCTTTCGGCCTTGAATCTTCCCTAGTAATAACCTATCGGACTTACTAGCTAACAAATGGACGCGATGCCTTGAATTGTTATTTTGTGTAAGCCAAGACAATAAATTTTACACAAAATATCTTCTGACACATCGTGGTTCTCACGGTTGTGTTCATTTTGGCCTTGAATGCTCCTGGTTGTTCATGAGTGCTTCTAGAGAATTTAGCCTCTTCATTCTCATAGAACCGGCCCCAGTTCGACACTCATATAGGTGATTCTTATTGTGAGTATCTTCTATATACTCGTCTTGATTTTTATGCCTAAATCAAGATATGAGTAATCATTAAAAGCAAAGCTTATCGTTAAACCCCTGCATATAACACATGTTGCAGATATTACTCTCACCATAGGAATGGGTAGGGAATTTTAATCCCTTGGTGATTTCTAGCGAGCCACAAATAACTTAGTTGTCCCTTTGAACTTAGTTCTTGGGATCTCCAGTCATTTAAGTAGGGTTACCATTATGATGACTCTTATGTAATGGGCTTTAATCCCATTTCCTTTGATGAACTATACACTTACTTTTTAGTCAAACCTTTGTTAACGGATCCACAATATTCTGTTTAGATTTTATATAATCTATTGAGATTATTCCATTTGAGAGCAATTGCCTTGCGGTATTATGTCGACGACGAATATGTCATGACTTACCATTATACATATGATTATGTGTCCTGCCTATTGCAGATTGACTATCACAATGAATGCAAATAGCTGGCACAGGTTTTGGCCACATTAGAATGTCTTCTAAGAAGTGACGAAGCCATTTTGCTTCTTCTCCTGCTTTGTTTAAAACAATGAACTCAGATTCTATTGTAAATCATGCGATGCATGTTTGTTTTGTGGATTTCCAAGAAACAATAGTGTCTCCCAGAGTAAAAACATATCCACTAGTGGATTTTGAATCTTTGGTATCCGATATCCAATTGGCATCACAATAACGTTCGAGTACTATTAGATATCGAGTAAAGTTTAAACCATAATCATGGGTAAATCTTAGATATCTACGAACCCGAATGATTGCTTTCCAATGGTCTTCTTCGGAGTTACTTGTGTTCTTACTCAATTTACTGACAGCATAAGCTATATCAAGACGAGTACAATTCATTAGGTACATTAGGCTTCCAATGATTTGGAAGTATTTTAACTGAGATACCGCATTACCTTTATTTTTCGATAAATAAAGACTAATGTCTACAGGTGTTCTAGCTACATTTATATCATCCTTGATAAATTTATCAAGAATTTTCTCAATATAATGTGATTGAGATAATGCATATCCATCAATGTTTTAGTAATTTTCATTCCTAATATTACATTTGCGACTCCCATATCTTTCATATCAAATCTTCTATTCAGCATTTGCTTAGTTGATTTGATCATATTTTGACTGCTTCCAATGATAAGCATGTCATCCACATAAAGATAAATAATGACATAACCTTTGTCAGTGTTTTTAACATAGACGCACTTGTCACATTCGTTTATCTTAAACCCATTAGTAAGCATAGCATGATCAAATTTTTCATACCATTACTTAGGTGCTTGTTTTAATCCATAAAGAGATTTTACAAGCCGACAAACTTTATTTTCTTGCCCTGGCACTACAACCCCTTCGGGTTGCTCCATATAGATCTCTTTATTTAGATCATCATTTAAGAAAGCTGTCTTAACATTCATTTGATGTGTCTCTAAATTATACAATACTGCTATGGCAGTAAGTATGCGGTTGGATGTTATTCTTGTCACAGCAGAATATGTGTCAAAATAGTCCAGACCTTCCTATTGTCTGTAACCTTTTACTATAAGTTTTGCTTTATACTTGTCTATTGAACCATCTGCTTTCATTTTTCTCTTGAATATCCACTTATATCTAAGAGGTTTATAACCAGGTTAAAGATCCACCAATTCCCAAGTATGATTTTGCATAATGGATTCAATTTCATTATTAACAGCCTTTTTCCACAAAGATACTCCAGGACCTGTCATTGCTTCTTTAAAGCCTTGAGGTTCATTTTCTAACAGGTATGTCAGAAAATCTCGACCAAAGGATTTTGATGTTCTTGCTCTCTTATTTCGTCTTGGTTCATCATCAGTTAAATCTTGCTGATTGAGACTATTACTAGTCTCTTGACTTTGTGTACAATCATAAGTTCTTTTATGTGAACTTAATTCCCGCCCTCTCTTGTAAGGAAAATCATGTTCAAAAAACACAACATTCCTTGACTCTATAATAGTGTTCACATTTATATTAAGAATTTCTGATTTATAAGTCAAAAACCGATATGCATTACTATTCTGAGTATAACCGATAAACACACAGTCCACAGTTTTTGGTCCTATCTTAGTCTTTTTAGGAACAGGAACTTCTACCTTCACCAAACACCCGTACACTTTTAAGTATTTGTAGGAAAGTGGTCGTCCTTTCCATAATTCATAAGGAGTGCTGTTAGTTTTCTTGTGGGTATTGTGTTAAGAATATAATTAGCAGACAATATTGCTCCCCCCCACAAGTTCTGTGGTATGCCTGAACTTAGTAACATGGCATTCATCAGTTCTTTAAAGGTTCTATTCTTTCTTTTAGCAATTCCATTTTGCTGTGGAGAATATGCTGCTGTAGTTTGGTGAATAATGCCATGTTGTACACAAAATTCATTTAAGGTTACATTATATTCACCATCCTTATCACTTCTAACCATTTTAATGATTTTACCAAGTTGATTTTCAACTTTAATTTTGTAGTGTTTAAACATTTATAAGGCTTCATCTTTAGTTCTAAGTAAGTATACATAACAATATATTGTGCAATTATCGATAAATGTTATGAAATACTTCTTGTCTCCTTTAGTTTGAACAAATTTAAGATCACACACATCAGTATGAATTAATTCTAGAAGTTCGGTTTTTCTTTCAACCGATTTAAATGGAGCCTTAATTAGTTTCGCTTCTACACAAATCTCACATTTGTTATTAGGATCAATTTCAAACTTTGGTATATAATCCA